CCTCACAACTGCATTTGTCATATCATGTCACATTCAGCTGTTATGATATTGTTTCACGGCTCATAATGTTTCCATCTGCTGCAATGGCGTCTTCATATTCTCCTCTCATTTACGTCGGCCTATCCCTCGTTTCCACTAATGGAATAGGAGCAGAACAGCGTGTAGCAGCTTGGAAGGACAATATTGTACTGATCATATTCTGTCCATGCCATATGTGTGTGTGTGTGTGTAGATCTAATGGCCTATCCCACTCATGGAGTGAGAGAATCCCTGATGCCAAACACATCTCTGACATCTGTGAAAATGGGCGACCGAGAAGCAACTCATGGCAAGGTAACACCCAAATCCCTCACTCATAATAAGAGGAAACACTTAGGTGTCTTAAATAAAGTCTGAATAATGTCTTGAAATGTGTTTGTTTCCCCAAATAAATGCAGGAAAAAGGCACCACGTGGTTAAAAAAAAGGGAACGAAATGTGTTCATCATTATAGTGACTTTTATCTACAACTAATATAGATAAAAATGTTCCTGTATTTGTTTTAATGAAACAAACGCATTGCAGCGATACTCATACATGTATGTACATCCCACAGTTAATAATTTGCTTGTATATATTTGTATTTAACGAGTGTGTTTCTGTTCTGTTTCTTTCCAGGAAATCTGAGCGGCAATCGTAAGAAACTGAAAGGAAAGAAGTTCCGTGCTCGCTCTAACTCCACAGAGTAAGTTCCTTCTGGCAAGTCAGTCGTGTTGTGAGCTCAATGAACTTTGTACATGGCACATGCAGATAAAAAGACGTTCTAGTGGAAAATAGACTTAAACTGGCATTATTCTTTATTTTATATTGTTTATGTCAACAAATCTGATTAAAAAGACCAAATCAAATAATATTTTAGTCTCTCACAAGGGTGTAACCATGGTAAAGACATTGTGGGGGTCCAAACGAGAGCCCTCCACACATTTTTGTGCATTTCCCACAATTCTATGATATTTATGAAAATTTGCACATTTAGATTGTAGTTTCGAGGACTATATTTACATTTGAATTCACATTTAAAGCAATAGTCTGTGATTTCCCCAAGATAGTGGCTGCCTCTCCACTTCATTTTATTTTGGTTGCCTTCTGTTTACTGTTCACTGACTTTAAATACACCTACCAATTAGAGTTATACATTAGCCTGTAGTAGCAAATAGGATAGCTTCCAATGGAGAAAAAATATATAGTCGCTTG